CACTCTTTCATTTAATATTTTCATCCAATTCTTTATCAAAGTTCCATAGCCTTTGATTTCAGAACATGGGCCATCCATGATATGCCCACCTACCATTATTCACTATCCGTGAAACTCAAACCTACAACGTATTATCACTCAAAGATACTGAATATACTGGAATTAATACCCAATACTTATTACCCTATTCCTACTTTTTTTTCATGCTTGAGGATTCTTGTGACTTCTGTCTCCTCCTTTTCACCAATCCTTATGATGCCTTTGTGCATATACATTAAATCTTTAATTATTGTTTCTCTTTTTTTTACACACGTTATTATTTATTATACAACAATATTATGCTAATCTCTTTGAATTATGTCTTTCTAAATGATACTTGTACTTCTCTAATTTTTCCAAAACACCTCTGGTGAGATAATTAGCCTCAAAAATCACCCCCTTTATTACTGTGGTATTTGTATTTCTCTCCATTCATTTATGACTTAGATGCCATTTCATCTCTTAAAAATCATTAGAAAAAAGCATACTCCTCATTGAAAAGAAAAATGAGAAAGTATAAAGCAATGGCAAACACTTTAATTACTAAAAATACTTAATAGCAGGATTAAAATCCAGGAACATAGAATATAGTTTTGTTTTTGCAAGATATAATTAAGTACTTTTACATTTTTAGAAATCATGAAATGAAATAGAAAAAGTTGTGATATTGTTTCTGAGTATCGTATATCATTAACTGATAGGATAGACATGTCTTAATTAATTAAACAAACAAGTATGGGACCAGACCATACCATTTGATATAACCAATGATATGGATGAACATAAACTCCTCAACTATCAACTACTTCCAGAATAAATAAATTCACCCGCACATTAACTATTTGAAGTAAAATAACCTTTCTCATCAATCAGATCCTCTAACCTCTCATTTTAATAATATAACATCACAGTATGATGACATAAAATAATTATAACGAAACCTACTTATTATATACACATCTTTTATTCCAGAACCATCAATAGTTTCGTAATAAGAAAAAAAAATCTACCAACCATAATTAATTTGATTTTTATGTTTTTCTCTTTTTTAAAAAATAGTGTGATGTTAATTAATTACGATGTCTTTCAGGTACGAGAAAAACATTGAAATGTGCTGTTGTCGTGGTTGTGATTAGTAACTTAAAATTGATAAAATAAGTGTGTTTGGATTAGTAGTAACTAGTAATTAGTTAGTCACCATAATTTTTGGAAGTAACAAGTAGTTTTTTTTTTTAATTCATCAAAAAAAATTATTTGTTAGTTAGTTCAAGTCACTATTGATCCAATAAGTATACACTGCCAATTGCCTATGGGCTGAACTGGATAGTATAAATGCGCGTCCATTAGCCGTTCTTGATCTCCTGCTAGTGCCACAGTTCATTAAGGTCCAACCCCTATTTTTTACTAAATTTATGCATTTCAGTGCAAATAGTATATAGGACCACAACATATTAGGGTTTAAAAACCCTAAACCTTAATATTAAAAACCGATTCAATAATATGCCACTACAGCATTAGCAGCTCATTTTATCCAGTGGCATGTATACCTTAGAATTCTTCCAACTCTAAAATGGAAGAAGCAAAGTCTCATAATTGTAAAAATGATCATTACTTTGAAGTTTGTTTATATATATATATATATATATTAGTTTTTTTAAGCTAAATTTTGCATCCTCAAGATCCACCATTATGTATTTTATATTTTATTTTTATGAAAATATCAATTATTTAATGTTACATAATTTGATATTATTTAGTATATTATATACTTAAAGACAAAACTCTGTTTTTTTAATATATAATTTTTTTGATAATTACAATAAAACATATTATTGCAACATAATGAGAGACATTATTCTTCTGGTGTGTAACATTTTCTAATATTATTTTGTAAAATACTTTGTATATATTATATTGATATAAAAAGTTGACTTGATTTATTATATATACTTAAAATATGTGAACAACAAGGGACATATTATTGTAAGAAAAAAAAATTACAAATATGAACTATTAAATTATATTTTAATGGTCAAAATTAAAACAAAATATACATGATGTTTAAGTAGTCATATGATCATTATTTTTATTTAATTTTAGCTAAATATGCATAATTATATAGACATATTTATAGTTTTCATTATTTGTAATAAAAAATATCTAACTTATTGTTTATATCTTCAATAAAAACATAATTATTTTAAACATTTTTTATAGTTTTACATTCTTCTTGAATGCATTCCTCCTTAAAAAAAGGATAAAGACGAGAATAAATCAAATTATTTGTAGGATAATTTTTTATTTAACTTGCATTAAACTTAATAAAATTTAAAAATATTTTTTTATTAATAATTTTGGGAGATAATAGTGTTTTATTTAAAGGACAAGAAAAATTCAAACTTGGACACTTTACAAAGCATTCAAACATACACTATAAAAAAATTGTCATATAGTAACATACACCCTATAGTAACATAATATGTGTCACTAAAAGTTACTTTTACTTGTACAATAAATATAATATATGTTGATATATTGTTAAAAGATATGAGTATAAGAAACGTTGGTATAATAAATAATTTGTACTAACGTGACATGGAATTAAAAAAAAAGTCTTAGGAAGTAACATCTTTTGAACATAAAATATTTGGGTAAGAAATGTTAAAGGAATGGGACATTTTTTGTTCAAAATATTTTGAACAGAAAGTACTTAGTGGGTAAATATTTTTTGTTCACATCTCATAATTTGAATAGAAAACGCCTATTCCTATACACTTTTTGTTCAAAAATTTTGAACATAAAACACTTAGGAAAATATGTCTTATGTTCAATTTTTTTTTTTACTTTTATAATTTTTATAAATTAAAACAAAATATACATGATGTTTAAGTAGTCATATGATCATTATTTTTATTTAATTTTAGCTAAATATGCATAATTATATAGACATATTTATAGTTTTCATTATTTGTAATAAAAAATATCTAACTTATTGTTTATATCTTCAATAAAAACATAATTATTTTAAACATTTTTTATAGTTTTACATTCTTCTTGAATGCATTCCTCCTTAAAAAAAGGATAAAGACGAGAATAAATCAAATTATTTGTAGGATAATTTTTTATTTAACTTGCATTAAACTTAATAAAATTTAAAAATATTTTTTTATTAATAATTTTGGGAGATAATAGTGTTTTATTTAAAGGACAAGAAAAATTCAAACTTGGACACTTTACAAAGCATTCAAACATACACTATAAAAAAATTGTCATATAGTAACATACACCCTATAGTAACATAATATGTGTCACTAAAAGTTACTTTTACTTGTACAATAAATATAATATATGTTGATATATTGTTAAAAGATATGAGTATAAGAAACGTTGGTATAATAAATAATTTGTACTAACGTGACATGGAATTAAAAAAAAAGTCTTAGGAAGTAACATCTTTTGAACATATTAATAAATAAAATGATGTGAAAATAACTAAATTTCTATTGCATGTTTCTGTAAATAAAAAAAAAATTACACTAAAAGCACCTCTGAATGTATAAATTAGTAGTTTAGATTGATAAATGTTTTTATAATTAAAATTTATAATAAATAAATATTTTAAATTTATAAGTTATATTTTAAATTTATTATAAACAAATTATATTGTGATATAGGTTATTTTTAATTATTTGATAATTTCTTATAAGATTTAATATTCAATTTATAAATAACAATAAATTAAAAGTAGACAAACAGTT